TGCTCAGCTAGATCCATCCCAACTCTGCAGCTCAAGTTTCAGCTCTGGTAAACAGAAAATAAGCAAATAAACAAATACAAAAATACAAGAAAAATACATTGTGTTTGCCCCCAATTTCTGTGGTTTTGCAAGTATGGAAGTACCAATTTCTGAAATGAGAAAGCATCACAAAATAAACATGTGCACTAGTAAACTCCCTCGAGAGCATCTTGTAACACACCACAAGTTCTTTACAATGATATTACAGCTACCACTAGTTGTTTTTATGTTAATAGGTATACTAAAACACTTATTTCACATACAAAAATGCGTGTGTAAAATATATATCTTTTTTATTTTAGTGATAACCAAATTCAATACAAGGCAATGCTGGTCTTTGTGCTGACTAAAGCAGATTTGGATGAAGCCATACATGCACCACAGATTTTCCTGACACCCCCACCACTGAGGAATCTTTACTATTGCTCTCTGGTTTTCTGGCTCTTTCAGCAGATCTTAGATGTTTCTGTTATTTCTGACAATGTCCCCTTATTATAAAGAAACAAATTAGAAGGTTTTTCATACCTTTGGTTGGAGATTTGGATGAAGTAGCACATACCCATTAGGATCAATTGCAAAATAATATCCATTTGGACAAAGCTGAAAGAAAGAAATGAAGTTTAGCATTATAAGGTTTTAAATAATAAAGAAAGATTAATTAATGGTTTTCAAGCAATGGTCACAATAAGAAAAATACATTGCCTCAACATCATGAAATATGTGAGATATTAACATACAGAAGATAATTTCTTGATATTTACTCTTTTAGAATCACAAACTTGGAGAATAATTTAGGCTGATGGGACCACTGGAGGTCACCTGGTACAACGCTTCACTGAAAGCAGAGATAACTTCAAAATAAGATCCAACTTGAAAGTTAGACTAGGTTTCAAAGGGTCTTTGAATACCTCCAATGGCAATTCCACAACCTCTTTGGGCAACCTGCTCCAGTGGTTAACCACCCTCATAAGGATTTTTTTTTCCTTTATTTCCGGTTGGAATTTCCATTGCCACAACTATGTCAATTGCCTCTTGTTTTTGCTATAACCCTTCAAGAAATGTCAAGGTCCATCTTCTCTATAACTCCCATTAGATAGCCCATCTGGTTTCTTCTTCAGTCTGAACAAACCCACCTCTCTCAGCTTCTCCTTGTATGACACATACTCCAGCCCCTTGGTCAACTTAGTGGCTCTGCACTGGACTCTGTCCAGTGTCTCAGTGTATTTCTCGCACTGAGGAGATCAAACTTGCCACAGTACTCCTGGTGCAGGTGTTCACTGCACAGCTGGCCTTCTTTACTGCAAGGGCACACTGCTAACTTATGTTCAGCTTCTCCTCCACCATGACACCCAGGCCCTTTCCTGCCTTTTGAGGCATTCTGTCCCAGCCTGTACTGTGGCATGGGATCATTCCATTCTAGATGCAGGACTTTGCATTTGCCTTTGGTCAAATTAATGATGTTCCTTTGCTTCCTCAGCTGTTGTTTTCCACAGTACTAGTTATTTTCTTAGAAATTCCCCAGCTAAATGTCTAAATATATAAATCAATCATATTGAGTAGGGTACAGACACACGTGTGTTAAAGAACTTTCATATAAAGAACTGTCCTATATTAATGCTAAGTATTATTATTAGCTGAAATGATTGTGTACTCTGCACTGTGATAAGAACCAAACATTCAACTAAACAGCAGTGCCTTAAGCTACAGGAAAATAATTACTTGGAATATATCTTCCAATGTAAAAGCTGGCTTTTATAGATGCATCCTGACGGACAATTCACACAGAAGCACATATATGGCTGGAGAGAAAACCATCAGAAAATCTACAACAACGGAAAAGAATATATGAAAAGAAGCCTGCTGGTATTTTGACTTACATCCAGTCATTGCTGTATGACTTATGAAAGAGCATGCAAAGAAATCATACATAAATCACACACAAAGAGAAACCACCAACGCAAGCAACTTACCGTAAAGCGGGGTGTCAGTTTTTTTATGTCCTCCAAAGAAACATCAACCCCCATTACTCCAAGAATCAGCTGATTCTGGCAAGATTCCAAAATGTTAGAATATGTTTGGCATATTTACAATGCAGAGTAACTGCAACAGTCAGTGAATTTTGATTTTGCCTTCATCTCGTTTCACAGATACTACTTGAAAAGTTTCTTATTTACTTATGTCTCTGTTCTAAATATTTTAAATAATATCCAAGTGATTTAAAATAACATTCAATATATTCAGAATTTAGTATAGAATATGAAAACTGTTTATGAAGATGAATATGGATGCTTTCCTGGATGAATAAACAATGTAAGAACAAAACAGGTGAAAGCAAAAGTGATGCATTAATATTGCCAATTCCAATATAGAGCACCAAATTACTAGCACCAATATAGAGCTAATATTGCACGCTAAATTACTAACACCAATATAGAGCTAATATTGCACGCTTCGGTTGGGCAGTTGATAAGTGAGACCCCAAAACAATTAACCTCTTTTGGCAGTAGTATAATGATGAATGAAAAAAAAAAAGCCAACAAAACAAAATAAAACAGTGACTATAACAATCATCAGCATTTGAAATCAGGGACTCTGGCACTACATTTACTTTACTTGTAATTTATTTTCCTACTACAGAGAAGGGTGGCAGGAATTTACATTGTATCACCTGAATCCCTTCTCCATATTAAATAAATTTGGAATATGTACTGGAAGATGCATCTTGCATTATGTAACCTAAAATTCATGTAGACACCTAAGTCAAGCAGATCCAAGTTTCCTCTTGTTCCATCCAGGTCTTCTGTACTAGACCACGGCTGTTTTATGTCTCAGAAAGACATACTTTGATAATCAGTGGTCTCTCACTTTTTAAAGGGAAACTAAGAGAACTATAAAGTAAATAAAGACATGGTAGTGGTCAAATTTGTATTTACTCATTCTGAGACTATTTAATATCTGAGAAACTGAATCAAATATCTTGGCTAAACTTCTGTATATTTTGACCTGAATGAATATGAGTATCACACCAAATGTACAGCATTTTAGCACACACTGTAAAGCATATTCTAGGTCTTATTTTAAAAAAAGCAGCATTTTGATTTTGCGAAAAGGACATAAATTGATTCCTTATCAGACTGTAATAGGAATGGGGAATTGTATTTATTTAATACTTAGATTCTATTCTAAGTACGCAGTGCTATTTTCTATTATCATTACAAAAAAATTAAAGCCTCTACATCATTGCCTTTTACCCTGAAATGTCATAGCTTCACAGACTTGTTATAAATATATCAGAGCTTCCTTTCTTGGCAAGGCCTGAATAATATCATCATATACTTCCCATCCATTGAGCACTTAATGCATTCCCACTGCCACCAGGTCACAGAGATAGATCAAGGAATGTCGTACACTGAAACTCAGAACTACAAAAAGGGTGATCTGCATTTTCTTGTTCCCAGGAGGTTATCAGGCAACTAGAGATGACCCCTTCGTTTCTGATGTACAAGACAATGAAACTGTAGAAAGCTTTATGGAAATACTCATTTTTCAAGGAGTTTAGCATTAAATTTAATTCAAATGACTGGGGTTTTTTTGTTTGTTTGGTTGTTGTTGGGTTTTTTTATTTGCTTTAAGTAACAGCTTACTATTTTCCCATTTTGTTCCTTTGTTAGATTGAAGACAGGTAGAGTTCCTGTAATCACAAGGCCCAGCTCCTAGGAAATAATCACATATAGAGGGGAGAAAAAGACTTTTTAGTTAAAGAAAAATGTTGAACTATAATATATTAGAACAATCCAGATATTACCATAGCCAAACACTAGGTTAGAGTACTGACTTTTAGTTTGTAAAAAAAGAAAAAAATAATACTATTTCATTGATTTTATGCATAGAAAGTTAAAATTACATTTTTGTGTCCATGTGTTAGCGAGAATAATAAATTACTTTTTAAAAATAGATGGTGTGCAACAACTTAGGATATAATAGGTTAATAAAAACTAAATATTATGAAAATATGTTTACAGCTACAGTTCCCATTATACTAAAAACTCTAGATGGAGGGGTTGGGGGGGAAGAAAAGAAAAAAGGCAAAAAGGAGAAAGCCAAACCAAACTTAAAGCTAGTAGACAAGTAGGCTACAAATACATACAGGCAAAAACAACAGAAAAATCCGACAGGTAATACTACTACTTTTCATATCGTCACTACTTTTCAATGGCTTGCAATAACGTCCATCACCAGTTCTGCAAAATCACATAGTCTCTCCTGGTACTGAGGCAAGGGTTTTGCACTTATTTGGGAAGATATAAGAAATTTGTTTTTTCCTTTATTAAGAGTCACAACTCATACTGAAAAGAGGATCCAGAAAACCATATATTTAGATAGCCTGAAAATATTTGTTTTCCATCCTAAATTGTCCACAGGCAGATTTCTACCTTTTTTTGTCCTAATGTTTGTTTTTAATTTCAGATTTTTCCCCCTCACTGATGCTTACTCCTTCCATGTATTTTAGTAAGGAACCATAACACTTCTCTGCTTTTGTTTCATTAGAAAAAAATGAGCTAAAATACTTTATTAATCCACTCTAATAAAATCAGTTCTCCATTTGCCCAGTCTAGTAGCACCTTTTTGAATTTTAAACCATCCTTCATGAACTTAAGTTTGTGTATGAAATGAGAGGTGATGAGATCAGAGTTAGTAATGTTACAACAAAGCAAGGTGAAGGGGAGTTTTTAGGAGAATAAGAGAAGCAAGAAGTGGAGATGAATCAGAAGAAAAGAGAGAGGAGGATATTTATTAGAAGTAGCATTGAAGAGATACATAACGGAACAGGAGGGGTATATACAGGGAATAACACTCTCTACCGCCCAAAAAAATGTACAGTTAGACAGAACGGTAATTGTGAATAAATTATGAATAACTGATAAACATAAAAGTATCTGAAAATTCTGGGTTTATCTTGCAGAAAGTGAGGCCAGAGCAACACTGTAACGGAACCTGAAGGAACAGGGCAAGAATAGAGGTGTGGATTGCCACAAATACATTGAATTATTAAAGACAGTCTTGAAAGACAGCATCAAATGAAAGTGCCTTTTCAGGGTTTCATAACCTGAGCCTAAGCAAAATTCAAATGCGGCCTTATGTAACACACTTTGCATTATTTTAGCCTTGGCCCCAAAACAGCTGCTGGACAGTAAGAGAAAAAGGATAGGACAAAGTCCAGTGAGGCACAAGCAGGAGAAGAGCAAGCCCTACAGGAGGGAATTGCTTTAGTGAATTTAAGATAAAGAACCAGTGTGACAAGCTAGTTCCAGTCCCTGCTAAAACGAAGAATCAGGAAAAGGCTCCAGAGTGGATTAGATACACCTATGCCTTTATGCTCTCATCTGTAATGAGAAAGTCCACAAATGTCAGCCTTTATCTCAAAAAAAGTCAGCCTTTATCTCAACAGTTTAGCTTGGGTTGGTCTTCACTTAATAAATATTTTAGTAAAAAGAACATTTCCTACTTTTTATAAATATATATGTATGCACACACACAAATATATATATACACATAATTATTTATACACAAACACACATACATAACACATGAATGCAGAAAAGTTTGAAGGAAAGACTGAATGAACCCACTGAAAATATAAAGCAACACAACAGAAGTCTGCAGGTATCATAATTTTACTTCATTAAACAGATCTTTTTCTATCCCCAGTTACAAATTTAGCTTTGGCTTTACAACAGGATATGTACAGAACATATGAACTTTCGTCATAACATCCTTTATGTTTCCAGTAAGTACCTCAGCAGTAACCAAGAAAACATGATTAATGAACTTCTGGCCATTGAAATTCCAAAGAAAAACTGGTTCCTTTGTGTCACTCTCAGTTCTATAATGAGTTGATAAAAATTTTACAGTAATGCTGACTGACTGGAAGAAGTGGATTTTTACATGACATTAGATGACCATGTGAACTTGGATAAATACATGATTCCAGATGACCATTTTGCAGTAATTTTTGCCTAGTTAGAGTTACTCAGAAGAAGGTTATCTAGAGCAACAGATTGGATTGCTGCTAATAATAATTTGCATTTCGTAGTTTCCTGAATATGTTTGCTTTACAAGACTGAAATGATAAAATTCAGCAGTAAGGAAAGCGTTTCATATAACTTTTTGTTTATTTCCCTATTATATACACTGTCCAATTATAGAAATCATTACCTTGCGCAAGCAAGTAATTACAACAACCATGATAGTTGAGAGATCCAAGTTCAAAATCTGTGCAAATACCCAGTAACATTGACAGGTTTCAGTCTGCCTAGAATGCTTTAAAAAAAAAAAGAACTCCACACCAGTAACGTAACAGATGACCTCCACTGCAACACAGGTACAACACTGGAAAACTATTTGCTTCTTTTTTTTCTTTTGTTAATTTGAGGATAACAATGGCCTACACTTAAAGATCTGTGCTTAGGATAAATTGTTTCTCTCTGTTAAAGTTTAGGACACTTAGGAGGATACTAGGTGCAAGTAATGGCCAAAAAGTTAGAAACAGCTGTTCAGCAAATTGTTCTATTGAAGTGTACAGATGCTGGAAATGTGATAATATTATGTTTGGAACTGCAGGAAACTGAGTCCTCAGGACTGTGGAAAATGGACCCCTATAGTTAGTGATTTGATAAGATTCTTACTTTACTAGAGATAAATACAGATCATACCAGAGCATCCAGGTAGACATTTGTCCATTGGACTTGTTTGGCTTTCTCTCCAGCTAAAACCATTGGTCTTCCCAAAACATCCAGATATTCCTGCCAAAAAGTGTAATAAACTCATCAGAAGGCAGTTATTAGACCAAGTCCAGAAACAGGATAAAAATAAACAATAATGAAATAAAAACAATGAAAAGGCCAGTAAAAAAAAAGTCGAAATTCACCACTAATACAGGAGTAGTATTTAATTATTTCTTTAAAATTATACTACCCAACAATTCAGTCTTCAGTTTGCAGTGTTTACTGCCAAGGCAATTCCTGTATTTCAGTCTCAGTCACATGGACCTTACACACCCATAACCACTGCTCTTTTTCCATGAAGTGAGAATTACAACTATTTCTGTTCCAAAATTAATTGCTAATGACATAATGAAATTACAAGCAGATTGCAGAACCTTCAACCCAGAAGAGAGAGTGGGTGATGGAGGGTGAGTGGTGTAGCAGCTGGGCATGTTAAGCTCCTACAGTAAGAACTTGCATAACTTGAAACAAAAAATTCAGTGTTTTAAAACCTAATAGTCCCTGCCTTCCTTCAGTCAGGGGGTACAGCTAAAGCTGGTGATCTTATGAGATGTCAGACTTCTGGTCTGGTTTGGGAGTGGATGCCATCAAACTTGTTTCAGTCTTCAACCTTTTCTACTTGTCTGATCATATTAGAGGTATTTCTTGCCGTACACTGTTTGGAAGAGTTTAACAGAATCAAAGGATTCTTATTCAAGCCAAAAAAAGGACTCATATTCTGCCAAAAAATGTCATGCCTGGCCTTGGAAGGACAAAGAACTGCTATGATATTTCTCTGCTTTTCTGGACGTGGACTTTCAGACAACTGAAAAGAATATCTGTTCCTCTGCACTGTCAGTTTGGATCACACCATATAATTCCAGGGTCCTGTGCCCTTAGTTATCTACACACATGGCTGCTAAAACTGTCCTGCATCCTCTTTGAAGGAAAAAAGCTGTCTCTCCCAGACTGGTTGGATCAATCCAGGAACCTCTCCTATAAGCAGGATTGTACCAGGTCACTGTTTCTGCCCAGCTGAGTTCAGATACTCCAGCAGGGCTATGCCCTCACACACATCCACAGCCTTCTCCATGTAATACAAACCCTTAGGATCATGTTGTAAGTATGGCAGGAGCCAGACTATGAATGTCTAGACATGTTATAAAAATTTACTGTTTTTATAGAACTTTATAAAAAAATTGTTGCTGTGTCTCAGGATCAAAGGGGACCTTGTAACGCCAGGAGGAAAACTGAGCCCAAAATATAATCCTTGTGCAGAGAAGGTCTGCAGGATACAGATCACTTCAAACGCTACGTTGTGTGCACATGGTCAGCCTGCTTTAGAGGATGCTAGCGTGACTCATACGCATGCAAGCTGCTGTGGGCCAGCTGGCCAGGGAAGCAGGGATCGCACTGTAAATTGGCTCACTGAAACTACTAAAAAGAAATAAATAAATTAGAATACTTTAACAGAATAATACTTCATATGTAAAAAAAAAAAAAAAAAACCAAAACCCTCCATTTTTAATGTAGTGTATCTTAAAATTTAATTGATTCAAACAGATGTGAAATGCAACATATTTAAGAACAGAAATTACTCCACTTGTTTATGTTACAACTGTATCTGCATTTGGCCAACACACTTACCTGGGTGTTTATTCTTATGGCTCCAATGGACGGAATTTCATAATAATAACCTAAAATTTGGAACAGAAATAGTTCCATTTTATTATAATATATTGTTAGTTTTTTAATCTTGAGGAATTTCGTTTAGCTTGTAATTTCTAATTTAATTCTTATAGAAATTATCAAATATGAATGGAATACTTCTTTAGTACATGCCACCACAATGCATGGCCACATGTGATGGGTCACCATGCCATATAGGCCAAGCTAGTTACTCTTAAGCATTGAGAGTGTTGTTTTTAAAGCTGAGATAATGTACTGAACTTGTACTCCTGAATTCCCAGTTACTCTGATGTGCAAGTATATGTAATGGTCATTTTAATACACTGTGACAGCAACGTAATTATATGCTGAATGCGCATAGGAATGCGAGTATAGCTACAGTTTGCCACAACAGTGAAGTTCATAGCAGAAAAATATAAGCACTCTGTGGAAAGGATGAGAAAATCAAACTGGTATTTCTTCCAAATAAACATCAGAAATTTCTTTATTCATCATTGATTGCATGACTTATTTGTTTGAATTAAAAATATTGCCCATATGCACCAATAAGACTGAAAAGACAGGCACTGAAATCCAGTTTCAGACCAAGTAAGTTGTAAGTTAAATTGGAAGGAAGTGGGGAGGACTGGAGAGGTAAAAGTACTGAGGTTAGTCATTTATTTTGCCGTAAGAAATGTGTGACTTGGTAATAAATTTAAACTTTTAATTAAGGAAAAATTAAATAAAACTTTGGTTCTTTGGCTATGCAAACAAATAATCACATTAATTTTGGACAGAAGATTATGATCATTTTGCCTCGATAATAAGATGACGTAGGTGGTTATGCTTTAAGCCAGCTGGTCCTCATTTGTTTTAAAATAATGGAGTTCACATGCACACAGTATTCTGAGATACAAAGATACTAGTTAAAAAATCTCTATTCAGAAAAACAAACGTTGATTTTTGGTAACTATCTGACATACAATCTGCTTAATGAAATTTTAGTATCTTCTGCATAACTTACCTGCATACTGGGGGATTCATGAGGCAATGATATGTATGATATTCATATAGGCTATCGATTTTTCTATATCATAATTTTTTTCTAGTTCTGTATCTTTCTCTTTCTCTTATCTTTGGTTTATGTTATTCTCATGCCTGAGAATCGCATCTCATCCTCCTTCCCTGGCAGTCTTAATTTTCAAGACCCTTTGTAATCTATCCCACCTCTCACCTCTTGCTTCTTACTGATTTGTAAAATACTTTCACATTTTCAGTCAGGCCTAGAAATTGCTCTATTTAAAATATTAAACAATATTGTTTGATAATTTCTCTATTTTCTATTTATTTGTATTTATCTCTTATCTCTTATTCCATAATTGTACTGTAAGGTGTTTGAGACACCTCTTTCTCACACTCTTTTTAAATGTTTCTGACCATGTAGAAATTTTAGGAGAAAGCATTTTACTTCCTTATTTTCACCTTTTTAACTTTTTTCTTCCCTACATAAAGAAATCAGGATAAAAATAAAAAAAATATAAGATACTCTTAGAAGCTAAGAAAGCAAGAATAATTTTGATATTTTCGTCAAAAAAGGGGAAAAAAATGCAAGTCATCTGGTCCCTTGTAAGTTTTGGAGAAAACCAGAAAGAAATCCAACCAGCCAACCAACCAAACAGAAAATCCCTTTGTCCAGACCCCTTAATATAAAACAGATTTGCTTAATTTCTTATCTGTCATCAGTTCCATTTTTTCATAGATGGCTATTACAACAAGAATTCTCAAAACTGAATGGTATATTATTATTATTGTTATTATTAGTAGTATTATTACTACTATTAAAATACTATGATATTTTTCTTACAATATAAAGTTTTAAATGAAGTAATCGGAAATAAATATGCAAGTTTACTCTTTTTATATGTATGCTTATACACATTATTTCATCAAATAACTTTTTGGAACTTTTATTAAAAAATGCAATAAAGCTAAAAATCAGGCTGAAACAAAACCTGTGATTTTTAGAGAATAATAAAGATATTCCCTATCCAAAGCTCTAGCAAAGAATAGTCTCAAAGAAAAACACAGTACCTTTATTTTCACAGGCCATCCACTGTATGGGTCCTTTGTCATAATTATGTTGACCAACAGAAAATGTGAACACACGTACCTATGCAAGTTAAAAAACAATGTATATAACTTATCTATATGTCATTAATTAGCTGTGACTCTCAAGTTAATGATACTTGGATTTTTCATACATTTGAACAGAAAAAGAAAACTATAAATTTTCCAATTTTTATCACCATAATAGATACACTGTTGTTATGATATTTTATGTATTCTTATTAATTGGTCCATGAAGTAGAACTCAGGAAGAATGTTCTTTCATACATCTTTCATACTTTAAAGCTCTTAACATTGGTTACCGTCCATGAAACATTTAAATTTCTTTTTTTTTTTTTTTCCTAGGGTGGTAATTATAACTCTTCACATTTTGTTAAATTAGTTGGCATAATCTCCCATCAATATTAGATGCTCACCAACAAATTAAAATGAACATGTGCATGGCAGTAGAATTCAAAACAATGCAAAACAGGAATTTTTAGGATATAAAATAATTTCAGGAAAAAAAGATATGAAATGTTTATATACTACAAAAAACAAATTCTCATTTTGCTCAGATTTTCAGTCTTTTTCATGTAAAACCACTAAATTAGTTCAACAGAGTTCCATGAAAGGGTTAAACTTCTGATAGTTCACTTTAAGCTCTTGATATTCATTAAAGCTATATGTTTTATAAGCATAACTCTATTCTGTTTAGCCAATGCAACTCCAATCTATTTCAGCAACTGAGGGGATTCATGGATTCAGAAGAATTCACCAAATTCTGTCCACGTTTTGGACTGAAAACAGGCTTCTCAGCTGAAATTATTTTCCATGCAAATTGTCTCATCTGAATGAGAAAAATTAAAAACAAAAACCAGTATTGCTGTATACAAATTAAAAATCCTACAAGACACATAGAAACATTACAAATATTATGTTTCAGCTTCTGGCTGAATATTTTGTTCCAAAGTTGAATGCTTCTGTAAAAGGTGGGAAAAATATTTTCCCAACAGTTTTAATAAGCTGTTCACTGTTATCATGTCCCTCTGAAGGAATGTCCAAGGACCAGACTGCCTTTTCTTTTCAGGCATCTCTTTCTTTATGGACCTTTAACTTTACCGCTTCACTTTACAAATCACAGATCACAACATGAAATCAGAATATGAATTTCTTTTCATGGAGCTTGATGACTACGTTTAAAATTAAAACATAATTCAATTAATTTGCATGCAGGTTATAACTGAGTAATAAGGTAATGTTTTCTTTAAAAAATATTCACAACATAAAATTGCAGAGACTGCTTGTAAAATACTGATCATTGCTAAGTTTTTAAACGTACATTTATACAAATTTTCATCACATTATTTAGCATGTGCGATTACTACCTAAACCTTCATTTGTCAAATAAGCAACAAAAAATGTGTGGCATAATCAGAGCTTATGTATTAACCAAGAACTGTAGGAATAGCTCCAAATCATCAGTCAGCAGCTAGCAATTGATGAAACTTTATTAGTGTTGACCCCTATATGCAAGCGGGGCAAACAAAGCTTTGTGCTAGATGTCATTTTTAATTAACAATACATTTTGATTTGCTTTATCCGTACAAACCCTTTGTTTCTGCAGTTAAAAGCAGAATTAAAACAACTACTCTGATGCACTGAATGCTGATTCAGGTGCTTGGTTTTTTGAAATACAGACAAAATTTGAAGTTTTTCAATAAAGCTAATAAGACTCTCATACAGGGTTATTTCTCAATAATAAGTCAAGCCAATTATAGTTCTAGTTACCCAAATAGATATGGGAATAGCTGTACATGTGTAAAATTTTGTTCTCATAGTTCATATGGATAGAGACAGATGAAAAATGCCTTCTATTACCTTGAAAATATCAGTATTGATAGTGCAAACATGACTTCATTTGATATGTCTACATCTCATTTATTTTTTTAATACTGTACCACATTGCAAATTCAAGTTACATTTGCCATCCCCCATTTGTTCTTGAGCTCTTTTACAAAATGTCAGCTATAACTCTTCTAATGAATCTTTCTGTTTCTGTTTAATTACCATCTATTTTTTTCCAAGCTGAATATCACAATGTTATTTTCTATTAGTATCTCTCAGCTTACAACGTCCCTGCCAACTATACTCCTGTTCTTTTTTTTGGACTCACCACTGCTCCCAGTTTAGTGTCCACTAAACACTTGATTCAGTTTACATTCCTCTCAAAAATTATGGTGCAATAAGAAAAAACCACTGAAGGCCACTAGTTAGATAGTTGAGTGACCTGATATGTCTTTTGGATTAAAAGTAACTAATTAAGTTAAAACATAGTCATGTGGGTTTGCTTGTGTGTGTATAAAACACAAGTCAATTAGGCTGGACTGTCTAGCATTTGATCTCAAATGTAAAAATGAAACACTTGGATTCAAGTTGCGAAATGGTATGTAACTTAGGGAAAAGAAGCAGCATGTTAAATCTGCAACTAATCTATAAAGAATTTAGAATTTAAATTATTGACAACAAGCAGAGGACAATATATCTGATTTACTGTTCCTTGGACAATTAACAGAGATAAAGAATTGCAATGAAAATTGGAGTTTTTAATTGTTACTTGGTTTGGCAAGAGGGTGGAACACTCAAAAGAGTTTTCTTTTTCCTATTGCCTCATCTGGAATTGAGTAGAATGACAGACCAGCTGGAAAAATGAGTCAGCAAGTCAAATTAACCAAGCCAATTTTAGCAAAAAAACATGCTCTGTGCTAACATTTTCTGTGACAGGACCCAGAGTCAGCCAAAGGACCGAGATGTGTCTGTCTATACCTTTTCCTTATAGACATCTCTCCAAAGAAGACAAAAGGCTTTTAAACAGATTTAATTACTTTTAATAGGGAATTTATGATTGAGAACACTTGGAGCAATTAGATCAGGCACAATGGATATGAGCACCTCTCCCTTTGCCTGTCCTTCCTTTTAAATTTGGTTTCAACCAAGTAAGTGGATTTCTGAGTTGAAGCAAACTGCCAAGTACTCTGATCCCAAGAAGTTGTTTTCCATCACCACCGAGGCCTGGTTATTTCTTCTCTTTGCTTCTCTGCAGCCTCTTTGGTTCTGTGTAAACTACAGGTTCCCGGGTCCTTTTGCTATGACTCTTGATCTCCACCATCTGCACCAGTGGATGGACACTTCTGTCCCCCAAAACTGTTTCCCAGGGAAAGTGCAACACTACCTCTGTACAAGGGAGATCCACTTATTCTCTTCATAAATAAACATAACTTTCAAATCAATAAAAACCAATAACAGGTAACGGGTAGCTAATTCTCTGTATTTTTCTCACTCTGAAACTGATCTTGGGGAGAAAACACAAAATCTTTTTTTCTTTGTATTATTCATCTACAGTATATAGTAAAGCAATATACTTATTAACAAACAAAACAAGTGTAGAATTAATGTAAGGACAGTCAGACAGTGAGTGGCACAGGCTGCCCAGAGGGGTTGTAAAGTCTGCCTCCTCTGAGGTTTTAAAGACAAACTAGATAAAGCCCTGAGCAACCTGGCTCGATCTTATTACTGACATTGGACTAAAGACCTCTGGAGGTCCCTTGCAACCTGACTTATCCTAGGATCCTATGAAGGACATCAAAGGAAAACAAGCAAAAATCCAACTCCCAATCAGAGAAAGTGGTAGACAGAAAAGAAAGCTACAGAAAATAGAGGAAGAAGTACTGTACTGAAGAAAATAAAATTGCCTAATTATATAATTAATTTGCTTTTTATTTTGTATTTCTCTTTAGCAGAAAAAGCTTATAAAAACCAACATGAATAGAAGGATTCTGACTGCTACAGATATTAGGTGATAGTGGCACTCAAGAGAGTTCTGATGAAGAGCTTTTTTTTTCCCTACAGATCTCAGTTGCATTTTACCTATCTTATTTCTTCATTTTGCTATTGGAATAAAATAAAGCAAGATTAAATTAGACTCTTCCTTTGGGTTTATCATGTTACGAGTATTACAGAAAATTAACAGCTTGAGTGAAGATAATTCAAAGTGGTAACTAAGCACAAGATCACCCTTACTGTTTAGACCACTGCATATATGCGTAGGCAGTATGTGTGGGCCTACAAGGGTTTGAGAAATGGCAACCACTCTGCAGGCAGTTCGGAGCGGTTGAACACATATATTTTTTTAACAGGTAAATTGTCTTGAATGTTATGCTATTGCAATGAGAGAGCTCTCAGTAACCATTGATGTGCATCCCTTCATTTCTATGTTTAGGAGACTAACTGACCTTTAGAGATATACATGTCTCTCTATGAGATATTGAGAGCTACACAATTAATTTACTCAACTAGATGTAGGCAAGATTAATCCCATCATTTTATGTCTATCATGTAAAATCAGCAAGAGTGTGTCTTTCTCTAACACTAGATAAACTAACTGAGACAAAATTGATCTAATCAAATCATACAACTTCAGTTTTCATGATGAAAGTATGATTTCAGAATATTTTAATCTGGCCTTTATAACTGCAGGTAAAGATTCACAGATAATCTCTTTTACTATAGACAGGAGAAGCTGTGATATAGACGAATAATTCAGTAATTCCAGCATTATCAGGACATTATTTTTCCCACTAATGTGTTTATAGATAACCAGATATGATGAAAAATTGCTTGCAGTTTATATTTAATAGGTACACTTCTGAAATAAGAGAACAATACACAAAGCCTATTTTTCTGAATAAAAACATAAAATTGCTTTTCTAAATTCCATTATGCACTCCATCTTCTAAATCACTTGTAAGTATAGCCTTTAAACCTCTTAATCATTTTGGTACTCTTCTGCTGTAGGTCAGGGAAATGCTATGTGGTTTTCAAGCTGCCACAGTTAAAACTGTGAATGCATTTTTTCCTTACTGTCTTTACATCTGTGGGCAGAAATCTGAAGATGATTTTGGATTCTGCTGTGAACTGACTGAGACCAGAAGGCATTTATGACCAATTTGACCAAGAACAGAACTTCAGAGGATGATCTGAAAATCCTGTATACTAATTAGGAAA